TTCCTTGTAAATTTTTCCCCAAAATTTTCTCATCAAATTTTTTTTTACTTTTCTCCTCTTTTTAAATTGTGTTTTGAATACAAGTCTACAAAGTACGTTGATTTTTCCATCAGTAATTCATACAGGTTAGGACAGGGTTCAGATCTGTTGTTCATAGGGTTGCTATAGGTTCTACTTGACTCAGTGGCACCTAACACCAACACCAATAGCAACATTCATACACATTCTGGTTTGGTTTTTTTTAAAATTTTTTTTCCTCTCTACTAGTTTATTTACAAAATTCTAATACATTTTGAACAAATTCTTTCCGTTTCCCTCACTCCTTCACCCATCAAATTGTGCAACCCAATGATTAATCCCCCTCCACGTGCACATCCACATCCCTCTGCTTCCAGCCTCTCCCACCCCTCCTGGATCCTTATACTCATTCTACAATAACAGTTTTATACAGTATTTATCCTTGTGAAACTGAGTTAGTTCACTCAGCATAATGCTCTCCAGTCCCTCCCAAGTTAGGTAATAATTTACAAAGTTATTGCTCCTGCGTGCTACACAGTATTTCATTGTATGAATGTACCATAATTTCTCAATCCATTCCTTTGTGGTTGGACGTTTGAGCTGTTTCCATGTTCTTGCGATGGTGAATAATGCTGCTATGAACATTGGTGTACAAATCTCAATTTGTGCCTCAGTTCTCATATTTTCAGGGTATATTCCAAGTAGTGGAATACTGGGTCATATGGAATTTCTATGTTCAGCACACATTTTGTTTTATAACATCAATTACAATACCTACCATGTCTGGTCATTCACTTATTCTAAAATTCTTTCTTAAGACGACTTTCTTCCTACCCTAACAAGTACTTACTGTGTATTTTATTTTTTTCATTTTAATTAATTTTAATAAACATGTACAGAGATTTTGGATTTTCATTCATTCATTGTTGCTATTTTTTTTTTACTACCACTCCCTCTTTTCCCTTCCTTGGCAACCACATTAGAACGATTCTAGTTGTGTGTAAGCCTTTCTTTATCTCTTTATAATAGTGGTCTTATACAATATCTACCAATCTCCCCCTGTGCAATTAACTGCCTCTGAAAACCCACCAGAGGTCAGCAACGGGTCGGTTCCAACTCTATGGTACACAACAACAATGGCTAACTTACTTGATTAAGCACAGTACCTTCTGAACTCTGGTGGCATGATTGATAGATAGGGAACTAAGCTGCTAACCCAAAATATTTGCCTTTCTGGTGGGTGGTTCAAATCCACCAGCAGCTCCTCCAGACAAAGACAGGCAGTCTCCGACTATGTGATTCACAGCCTCTGAAAAGCTGCTGGAGGATCAGCCATGAGTCAGCTCTGACTCAACAACAATGAGTTTTCAAGAGTTTAGTGCCCTCTACATACACAGTCCCTAACAGCAGACTTTCCCATCGCAATACGTCTTTTAATTTCCTGGCTGCTGGTGCCGAGAGTGTTGATTGTGGAGCCAAGCAGACTAAAGCTGTGAACGATCTCAATCTCTTCAGCATCCATCCTGATGCTGCCAATTGGTCCAGTGGTGAGAATCTTTGTCTTCTTGACATTGAGCCTCAATCCATATTGAAAACTGCAGTCCTGCTGTTAGGGACCTCTCTTAAAGTACTCAAGAGCAACAGTGTGTTTCTGGAGACTAAGGTGTGTCTGATACAGGCCATGGTCTTTTCAATCACTTGTTATGTGTCAGAGAGCTGGACAATGACCAGGGAGGATAGAAGAATTGATGCTTTTGAGCTTTGGTGTTGGAGAAGAGTGCTGAGGGTGCCATGGACTGCTAAGAAAACAAACAGATTCATCCTGGAGAGGGTTAAACCGGGCTGCTCATTGGAAGCAAGGATTCTGAAACTTCGTCTGACATACTTTGGTCATGTTGTAAGGAGAGACCGGTCCTTGGAGAAAGACATCATGTTTGGGAGGGAGGGCAGGCACAGGAGGGGAAGACCCCTCTATGAGGTGGATTGATTCGGTGACTGGGGCAATCGGGATGAGTGTGTCTGAGACAGTGAAATCGGCACAGGACAGAGCAGGGTTTAGAGCTATTGTACATAGTGTCGCTATGAGTCGCAAGCGACTTGATGGCAGGCACATAACAACAACAACAGATACACAGTGTGTCATGAATTCATTGTTTTCCAGTATTGCATAGTACTTCAAGGTGTGACTGTACCCTGGCTCCTTTAGCCATTACTTACTTGTTCGTGAACATGTAGGTTCTGCCCTTCTGCAGGTTTTTATAATTTGCTATAGTTTTCCAGCAAGGAAACGACTTTCCAGCAGATGGAAATAAGACATCTTGGAGAAGGACGGCTTTCTTATTTTACACATAAACACCCTAAGCAGGTGGAAGAGGGATATTATACTCCCCAGTTGAAATATCGTCATCTTTCTAAATTCATGCATTTTGAGACTTGCTGACTTGATTTACTCTTAATGTTAGTGATAGTTGTTGTTGTTGTTGTTATGTGCCGTCGAGTTGTTTGCGACTCATAGCGACCCTATGTACAACAGCCCTAGTCCATATTCTTAGTTCTATAAGACAAAAGTATAACTGGGGCTCTCCTGGGCCAGAATAGTCATGGAGAGAAATTGTTAAAGGCACAGCTGGCCTCATTGTTACCCAAAACCTGGTGTGAAAGTCCCTGTAGCTTCTCTCCCCTTTCATCTTTGTTACTCTCTTCTTCGGTACTTGACCTCACTTCCATATGGTAAAGTGACTTCTGTCATCTCCCAGCTAACTTCATAATTAAACATCCTTACTTGGGGATCATCAATAAAGAGAGGGATGCTGTGCTATTTGGAGGTCTTGGGAAAGAGGTGACATTAAACATGTTTCATAACAAGTATCTCAAGACAATATGTGGACATGAAAATTCTGGGAGCCCCTCTTTCTTGACTATAGCCTTTAGTTGATGGATTATGAGCAGGAGAGGAGGACCAGGGGGACTTCAGGGTTGGGGCTGCAAGTCCTAACGAACAGGTGTGGGCTGGCTTGACTACGTCAATACCTGTCACACTTATTCCTTCTGTGGGTAGGAGGGAGCTGGGTATGCTGTGTGCTGTACACCTATAGATGTGAGGTGTGTGGGGCTTCCCTCAAATGCAGACTTACACTGAAGTTCCTTGTCTCTACCCCCTCTCTCACTTCTCCCTTCTGCTGCTGTCTGGACACTCAGCAGATAACACTGAAGGCACCACACTCTCTGAGAGACGGTCTCTGGACAAAGACATCGGGACAGATGCCCCTGCTCCCCGGACAGATGCCCATGCACCCCAGAAAGCTGGTCAGTGGGTGGGCATGGGCTATCTGTTCACTCTCTTTCTAGCACTCCCCAGAGAAGAGCAAATGCTCAGTGAACACCTGAATATTGGATGCAAAAAAGAATTCAAACCTGTACAGAATACCAGTCACCTCCCTCCAGCTCTGTTGCTGTCGAGCCAGTTCTCACTCATAGTGACCCGTGAGGACAGAGCAGAACTGTCTCATAGAATTTCCAAGATTCTTCTTGGAAAGCCACTTCTTCCTCTGTAGCCATGGTGGGTTGAAATGGACCTTTGGATTAGCAGACAAGTGCTTAATTGCTGCATCACTAGGACTCCTCTGTACAAGAGAGGCATAGAAGAGATGAATGGATAAATAAGTACTGCAACCAAAGTAGACCTTTAAAATAAAAATCCAAGGCTTAAAAATGACAATTTATTTAGCTCTTGATTCTGCACTTGGAAACTGAGACTAGGTTCAGTTGGGTGGCTCAGCTGCTCTCCAGGGAACTTACCTATGGATCAGAGGTCAGGTTTAGGTCATTAAGTAGATCTTGGAAGAATTCCTGGTTTCTGCCTGGTCAGCACTAGTGAACAAGTGGAGATGCTGTTTATGCCCACAGGCCATGCGGAGAGTCCATTTATCCAGTCAAAGAGGGCCTTGAGCACCTCTTGTGTGCCAGGCACTACTCTAGGTTCTGGGGACAGAGTAGTGAATACAACCAGCAAAAATCTCTGCCCTCGTGGAGCTGGCCTTCTAGTAGAGGGTCAACATCATTAACATATCATATGATTTGCATGCAAGCAAAACAAAGCAAGGTTAAGGTTACAGAGTGACCCTCATAAACTCAAACTCATTGCCATCAAGTCACAACCCACTCACAGCTGACTTTTCAGTGGATTTTCACACGGGAGGAGATTACTCATCTTTCTCTTAAGGAACTGGTGGTGGTGGATTCGAACCACCGAAGAAGCACTGCCTTTGGTTTTAGCAGCACAACTCCCTATGGATTACGCCACCAGAACTCAAAGAGTGATAGGGAGAGAGGTTCAAGGAGTTCTGGTGACATGGTGCATAATGGGTTGGGCTGTTAACTAAATAATCAGATTTGACTTGATGGCGGTGGGTTTGGTTTGGCTGGGTTTTGGGAGGAGTATTTTTTTTTATGTAAGATGATTTCTTGTCCATAGGTAGTTGTGCTACTAAACCAAAGGACACACCTCTCTAATTCAAAGCCACCACTGGGTCTTTGGGGAAAAGATGGGCAATCTCCACCTGTGCAATATTAGCCTTGGGGGCCCAATGCAAGGTCAGCTATGGGTTGGTTCTGACTTGATGGCAATGGGCGAGTTATTTTATGCAAAGGGCTGGAGAAGGCCTTACTGAGAGGTGGTGAGGCAGAAAGCCATGAGGATGTCTGGCAAATGGGGCCCTGTGCTGAGGAAATAGCCAGTGCAAAGGCCCTGAGGTAAGAGGCTGCCTGGTATGTTCCCCACTGAGCATACCGGTGGGGCTGGAGCAGGAGTGACGGGGAGGCTGATGGAAATGAGGTCAGAGAGGTAATGCACTGTGCACTACCTGAGGATCTCGGGGTTTGTTTTTAGCACACCGTGTCTGACCTCCAGCTGACTCTAGCATTAACTTATTCACCCGCAAGCCCTTGACTATAGTCTGACTTGCTCTGTCTCTCTCTTTTAGGGTCAGATGAAGCAGTGGATAATCCCTTCTTCTATGGTAAGTCAGTGGAAGAGGGTGAAGGGGGAGCCAGGGCTAAGATGCGTCTGACTGTGCCCCTCCGTTGGTCTCTCTGCAGATGAGGACACGCTCCGGAAGCAGGGTCTGTTGGTTGCAGCTGTGCTGTTCATCACAGGCATTGTCATCCTCACCAGTGAGCGTGGGGTGGAGTGGGAGGGGCACTGGGGCTGGTGGGGCGTGTGTGTGGCTTTGACTTGCATTATGACTGACTCAGGTTCTTAAAGGCCACCTGGGAAAGTGTTTTAAATGAGATGTACCTGTCAGGTATAGTTAGTGTAACAAGCCAACCTCAAGAGTTAGTGCCTTAAAATATAACTGTTTGATTCTACGACTGGGTGTGTTAGGCTGGGCTCAGTTGTGTGGTTCTTCTGGGCTCAGCTGCGTTTCTTCTTGAGTATGAGGGCATTTGCAGGGAACTCTGTTCCTCAGGACCCCTCAGTTCCTGTGTTCTGCTTCTCCAGCACACTAGCCCAGGAACGAGCTGTGCTTACTTACATGTCAGCAGCTGTGTCAGTCATGATTGTGACAGGGGGGTGTTTGTCATTAATGGAGACACTTTTTACAGAGTCACCAGCAGGGCTATGAAATGGCACAGCACCCAAGGATTAGCAATGATGGAGAGCTGTTCTGAGGCCAGCCTGAAGGGGTGAAGGGCTATGCCAGGGTTTGGTGAGAGAATTGTAGGAGGGGGAGCTGCTGGTAGGAGCTGTGCTTTGAGGGAGACAAGTCCATCAAGGAGAATGTGAGGGATGAAGGTCACATACGGAACCTCTCTATCCTCCTGTGCTCGTCCAATCTCTTGCCAGTGCCTCCTTCCAGGGCTGAGCAGGTGAGAGGCCTGTGCCTGCTGGTCAACCTCTTAGAACCTAGTTCAGGGAGTAAATGGAGAATGCC